AGATATATATATATATATATGTAGATATAGATATATATTAAAATAAACTACTTACTGTTTGTACTACTATTCCTACTTTGTGGTTTTTCACTTATCGCCGGTCTTCAGGGCACGGATCGCCCACGATAAACGAGGGACTACTGTACATCTCTTACAACATTATTGAGGAGCAAAGGTGCCAAGCTGCGTAAGAATTATAAGTAACGGCATTGGGCAAATCATGAACTTTCCTTATGAATGTGTAGCATTTCTGATGACATAAAAAGTTTTTGTAAAACAAACATCGCATTCACGTCATAAACTGTATATTTTATAAACAAAGTGCTCCTGCCTGCTCATCATTAGGAACTGAAGCAAACAGGACTCACTTTATTGAACCTATGTTGTATTTTTGGAACCAGAGTTTGTGCACTACTTTAAGTCCCGCCTACTCCCCCCCCACCACCACAATCATAGGGTTACATTTTTTATTTAGACTCTTAACATTAACACCTCTTTTTTAAAAGAGAGACCTGATCAAGACTGTACACATTGTTCTATTTTGTATTTTTTATTTCTTTTTAACCGAGGTCAACGTTCGATTTGTTTACATGGAGGGGGCAGAACTTGAAGCTTGTAATGAAAACAGCCCACAGGAAACTGGTCTTGTTCTGGCTTCAGCTTCCAAGTTCCGGTTAGATGTCTAGATACATACAGTCTGTTCCTTTGCTTTACATTCAGAGCAGTTGTCCTCAAAGTCACTGCTCAGTTTACAAAATTAAACTATTAGATTCTCTTAATATTGTAGCAGCAAGAAACCTCAAGTCATCACCATTCCGACTGCACTTTCTGTCTTTTCTAACATATTGAGTTTATACTCGTCACACAATGGGTAATTTCTTTAATTTTATAATAATCTCTGTTCAAACAAATCAAATCATTGCACGTAAATCTCAGTAGTCCACCTCTATGTGCCACAGAGGGTTACAGCTTTCTCAAACCCTGAAGACATACACCCTGGATACACACTTTATCCACACAAATTATCAGCCAATGGGCTTGTTGAGTATTATCAATTAGGATACATTTTCATCACATGTATTTTTCACTAATCATTTAATTCAACCAAAACAATTAATAGATTTTAGTCTAGTCGTATTCTTCAAATCTGAGGACATTTTTAGTCTAAATAAAAGTATTTTAAAAGAAAAAAATAGATATACAGAATTATATTTACATTTACATTTATCTGACATACTGTTTTTGAATGAAACTAGAACATGGAAGCTAAAATAAAAAAGTAGGAAGTGGTAGCTAAAAGCTAAAAGTAACAAAAACTTTATTAAAAGTGAAAAGGGGCATAAGAAGATTTTTTTTAAAAAGAAGCAAATACAATGAAACAGATTTAAAAGAAAACAATGCTTTAAATTTTTTTTTTTTAATTCAATGGTTTCTATGGATTTGTTTTATTTTAAATGTATATTTATAAAAAATATAAAAGTTACAAAAACCAAAAGTTATAGCACAGCATTCTCGATTGGACTGAACGTTTAGATATTTGTTAAACAAAATGTTTGCCTAAGTGGTTTGATTGCAAAAAACAAACATACGGAAGAAACTATAAACAGGAAAACAATAGTGTGAATGTTAGACAGGAAATGCAAAATGACCAGCAGCCTCAGCTCACCAGAAGCATGAGCTGCGTGCGTCTTCGTTTAGCCTCGGACATTCATCATCGCCCTCTTACAGCTGCCCTCATTCTCCACGTCTATTAGACATTAATGAGCTATCGAGTGATTTTCCAGCGTGGCAGAGAGTGAGAGCTAACACAGCTGATTTGACAGGCACATGATGTGCTGCTCACCAGTCTCCCCCGCTTCTTCGCAGCCCACATGGTGAGTGAGCACGCTCAGTACAGCTGCTCAATCCATCCCTCTTACTTCATTTTGTTTCCTATTTATCTCCTTTTCTAACTACTACATCTTTTTGTTTCTGTCTCGCTATTTAAAGCTCCTTTGTGTTTTTTCCATCTTTCATTGCCCTTAAGGAAAACTCTGAGTTGGCATGTGTGACTAACTCGAGACAAATATAATCCACATACACTGCATGCAAACTCAGGACTGTTTAAAAACAGGAAGGAGTTCTTCATCATAACGCATATAAATACTGAATGATCTTAACAGGCTTCACGTGGATGTCAAACAACCCAAACAAGCACAATGAACACTTTTTTTTGTTGCTTTTTTGTAATTTAAAGAATACATAGATTTGAGCAAAATGGTGAAAGGATATGTTGAGCCAAAAGAAACAAAGAAAGGCTGAATGTCTCTATGATAATAAGAGATAAATAATACTTTCTTCAGTCATAACTCTGTTCATTTTGTCTCTGAAACAATATAGTTCACACATTATTATATAACAAACCATTCTATAAAATAAAACCATTGCACCCCACCTGATACTGAAAGGCCTGAGCTGTTGGGTCTCAAACAGTTTCCTTCAAACAAAACAAAGATCAAAGAAGACACTTTTGGCAAAAGTGTGAGCTTTAAAATTATGTGCTTCTTTGAAGCCTAACTGACATTGGTTATTTATATTTGCAGCCTCCAAACTGCCCTCGAGCGCTGAGCTTGGAAAACTTTTTCATGAGAATTGCACTTTTGCTTTAACGTATATGACAACAACTAGATGAAATAAAGAAAAGAGAGAAAAGTACCGTACTTGTCGCTGTACACGTCGAATCGCTGTACAAGTCACATCATGAATCTCATGAACATGAATCATGAATCTCTAACTAGAATAATCACTGTGAAAAACCATATCATGTTGCTGCTGATCTGTTTCAATGTTGATGTGTTCATGCGTGCACATCTGCTCACAGACTCATGTTCATGTTTGTGCTGATGTTCAATGTTTTATGTTATGAGTGCTTAGTGTATATTTAGTTGATGTTTTTCTTAGTTCATATCTTAGATGTTATTACTGTTTTTCTTATACATTTTATTGTTGGATGTAACTGGGACCTTGTGTACATACTTTCGCTCCACCACATGTACCACATGAGGTGCGAATGACAATAAAGAAACTCTGACTCTGACTCTGACTCTGATCAGTCCAAATATGGTATGTCTAATAAAGTGGAGAAAAACATAAACACGTCGCTTTGCCGTATAAGTTGCATCTATTACGTGTCACTGCTGATGTGTCGCGTTTGTTAAGTGTCACCGCTGACAACCAGGACATGTGGGCCGGTGTTGTGCCAAAAATCGATTGGCTGAAATGGCGGCCGCAGGAGCGTGCACGGGAGGACTTTAACAATAATTTAACAAGATTAACACTTAAAAACAATTAAATTTGTTTGTTTGAAATGATAGCAAAGGTGTGTCTCAGTTTAACTTTTCCTTAATAAATGCACTTTAATGGTCAAATCAGTTGCATTTCAAAAGCCGATTTGTGGAAGCGGGAGCAAGCAGAGCAGAGCTGCACTCAGGTCCAAAAAATCCGATCCGACCCGGCCCCAGTCCATAGCCAACAGCTCCGAACCCCACCAAAACCAACAAATTA